TGTGCTGGTTGGGCGACATAACAGGTTACCGCTACTGTGTATTCCAAAAACATTGTGCGTCTTTCGGAATTAAATTCTAAAAATATCACGTAAATTTCGTTACAATTTCTCAGAAACGATCATTGCGGGAACATTGTGGGCCGGGACTAAGATTTTTGAACAATCGATGCGATAAAACGATAGTTCGAGGAACGATAGAAGCGGGAAAATGTAACATTATTTTATATGGGATGTATTCGGGACCGAACAAAACGGACGATGCATCCGGGAAAACGATAGTTCCGGGAACGATGGATAGAGGTTTCACTGTATAATATATGAGTATCAATCCTCTGTCACATCATCTTGATGCTGTCAGGGCAGTGAATTTAAATGCCCTTCATGCACTAAATTTAGGTGTGTTAAGCACAATGGGGTACATGTAATTCTACTATATTTTACTTTGTTTGGTATGCTAAAAAAGTAAATCATTATATTACCTCAGTATCAATGGTCGGTATTGATTCTATCTGTTCCAAGATTCGTGTTAGCTGCACAATGTTCTGTGAAACCTGTCCCAACTCTTTATTGAGTGTTTCCAGTGGTGGTGCAGAGTCAATGACCCAGGCAGCTAACCGACTGCCTGCACCTGCCCCAGAACCCAAAATACTAGGTGGAGGAGAACAGGGCTTCACATTCCTTGGTAAAGAGCCATCACGATTTGGTACAATCTCTGGAGGAGTCATAGCTACCTCTGAAAAATAAAGAAATGGTTAACACTGTAAACTAGCTACACATGCTGCCTTCACTGTTAGCCTGAATATGCTTGGCATTTATATTAAAGGTTATTATAGGAAAAATAAGGTACAGCTGTTTCACTACACACCGAAGATATAATTGGGGGGAGGGGGGAAGGAAGTGGTATAGTTGCTACTCTTCTTGACCCCGCCACCAGATGCAAGTTGAGCAGTAAGCATCACATCCCAGCTCTATTTTACACCAGGGAAAGAACACAGGAGGCTGGGTGGGTGAATATGGTGGTAATTCATTCTTCATTCAAGAAGGACGGGGATTGTCACTGTTATTCCATCCAAAATGTCTATTTAATATTAAAACAATAATAAAATATCAAATAACATGGTTGCAATATTTCAAATAAATGGAAAATTTCTGTAATCCAAAAGTACATCATGAATCTCAACCCAAAGGAAAAAGAGACCATCTATGTCCGTGGATGTAATGGAGAGATTAGTCTTTAACACTCAAGCATAACAGCAATGAGGTTTAATATCTTTCATAGTTACATTTTAAAAATTCCTAAAATTAAATCTTAAGAATTGCATTTCAAATCTAATTCACAATAATAATGATAACAATGACATATCTTAACAAAAACTGTGTTTGGTAGACAAAGAATGC